GCATTAATTGAGCTTGAATGTCTTTCAGAGAAATTTGAACATTTTACTGTGTTGAATTCCCTCTCTTAATTATATATCAAAATTTTTTATTTTTGAAATCGAAATCGAAATGAAGTGTAAGTGATAACCTTACATTCAATACCTGTATTTAATACAAAGCTCAAGTTCGTTTCGTAAAATTTAAATGCAAGTTCATAAATTTGTATCAAACTATCCTAATCAAAATATTTAATTCAAAGGCAAACATTTAAGAATAAAAAATTTAAATATTTCAATGCCAGGCGAAGTAAGGTTATACAAAGGTCACAAGATTAAAACAATGTCTTAATTTCGAAAGTACACATAATCGAACAGCATCGCTGACAACGTAATATGGTTGCACTCACAGATACAGCGTGTGCAGTCGTTAAGTAGCATGTTTTACAGCAGACCAATACAAGCCAACACAGACACGCCAAACCCAGCTCACGTTAGACAGAGAGCAGCAAAAATGATTGATTATGGACGTGAAGAAGCACGGGCGACTCCCTTGGTTAGAAGCATCCTATTTCGGTAACGAATGAACTCGACGTACCACACAAATTTAATTAGGTAGTTCCTATAGGCAGAAACAAAATTAACACACAAGCAGTAAAGGAATACCTACTTTGTGATGTAGATAAAAACACACACTTAAAATGGTTCTTTTTTTAAACAAAGAATTGATTACCTACCTTTGTTTGCGCGACGTTTTACAACTAATGTAAGTCTGGCAATACCGTAAGGCGTGGCAGCGACCAGAGAAACACACAATATCCTAACAAGGGGCACATAGCAGATACATCTATATAAGGTTCTCTATCACCGATTCAGAGAAAAATCATAAATAATTTAATGATTATGTGACTTGAGGTATGATTTGTTCCAAGTGGTAGTGTATCAAGCTCAAATGAGTAATTCCTTCAAGTCGAAATTGTATTGTTGTTTCATCTTATCAGAAATATCGTCGTATGCTATTTAAGATAACATCACTTTTAAAAATTCTATCATTAATTGTTTAAAAATTTACCTTGATATTTCTATATAAAATCAGTTATCGATAAGTACTTAATATAATCCTGACTTGTTAAAGTAATTTCACTGATTCGTATTGAAATCACACATCTAAAGAAAAAGAGAGGAATGGGCACAAGCTAGGTCATTCACCAATAACTCGAGAACGCAGGGACACGCGCTTTTAAATGGACTGCAGAAGTAAGATAACAGGATTTTCATTCGATAAACATGGTTTCAACGCCCTTGAAAGTAGAAGGAATTAAAGCCAGTTCCACGGAAGTTATTGTTATAGGTCACACTACCTGGGGAGAAAGGACGAATTTTGGTGAAAGAGTCGTACAAAACACAAATAACCCTTTAAAATCACGAATTGAGAATCACATATATAAAATACGCAAAATTATGAATTAAACTGCATCACACAACTGTTTCGTCCCTCTGGGACTCGTTGATATATCAAGACTTGTAGGGGCCGAAATTGAGGACGTCCAGAAGGGGAAACTTATCTAAGTAACTGAAAACGAATTATATGTTCTGGATGAAAAGACGCCAAGAGTATGTCTATGTGAAAGGCAAAGTGTCAAAATAACCATGCAAAATGTACAATATGGCTATTTATGAAAAAAGGGGCGTTGGTGGCATGGTTGTTAGGAAGAGCAACAAGAGGCAGCAACGTTGTAAACGAATGAGGTAAGAATTACCTTATAACTGGTTCCACAAGGCTAGTCGAAATGACACGGATACTTTCAAGTATAGAACAGAGACATGTAGAATGGAATAACAAATAACTTGAACCAAAAGATATTTTCATTCTAGAAATAAAATAAGGCTCTAGAGACTTGACAATGGGCCGCCTACCTTTCATCCATACCAGTAATAAATGTAGAGTTGGCAGACTTCTGTTTTTTACAATTTGTTCCTTTAGAGTCCCTACAGGTGAGTACAGGTGAGTCATATTTCAATTGGTTTTATTTCATTCTCAAGCTGGCGGATAGTTATTGTCGGCTTGAGCATCTGACGGGTACTCTACTTAGAGCACAGACCAGATAAAACGACCACAACTTAAAGCATTGTCAGCTTAGTTTTCTTTACTTCAAAACAGCGCAGTTCTGATAAACGTTTGGTTCAAATTACAGATATTCATTTTGATATCACATTTTCAAACATTTGAAATAATGTTAATCTACATATCTAAGAGAACAGAAATATCGACTGTTGCACATAGAAAAAGGTGGCATACTGTAGCGTGTGCATACAGAAGTTCATGTCAGGTCCTTCGAGACCATCAAAGAAGTACCTCTACAGACGGTTACCCAGAACAATGACGGTGAGGGACCTATCCAGTCATCAATCAGATTCGGTCCAGATAGCAATCACGTGACTATTATACAATCATCGATATTCTAAATAACTTGATGACAAATATCTCCAATTGTCTTTTCCTATATCAAAATATCTCTCATTCAGACAGGTATTTCATATTTACGTCAGTTAAATGTCCTTTCATCTGTCGGATCGTAACAAGTCCGGAATCATATCTCTTCTTTAATTATTGTATGACGTGATTCGAGTTATGATTTTCATGTTTCATTCCTATCAGTATAAAGATGGTCGGAGTTCCTTTGATGAAACAACACAACTTCGCTTGGCTTTGACATTTCGTCATTTTTCAAATAATTTGTGGTCAGATTTAATTTGCTTCAAATTACAAACAAAACCTGACAAATTACATTCATTGTAATGTCCCGGGGCGGGGAGGAACACTAATTGGAGAAAAGATTCTGGTTCAGGGATCCGGAATAAGATCGGAAGAGCGGGACGATGATTTGATTAGCAGAATGGAGAAGCGATGATGTCAATGACCCGAGCAGAGAGGAAAGTATTTTGCCATATGTTCAAAAGTAAACGGGTCGTCCGTCCTGTTCCGAACGTCCAATATGGCGTATAGTATTGGTTCATATGAGGTAGATATGTCATTTTTACAGGTAATACAACTTATAATCAAACCTTGCTGAATGACCGCTCGCTAGTAAGACAACTTCATTATTAAGACCACTTCATTTCAGCCAGAAATTAATCCTCCGTATGTCTTTGTATTGTAAATTTACAACCGTCTTGCAAATTAAGACCAGTTTTAAAAAGTCCCAACTACCAATTTGACATTGAATGTCACCTTTCTAATTAGACCACGAACAATCCACTTACTTATCTGATGTGTATTCTGCTGTGGCCACCTGCTGGGTTTGGGGTAAGTAAACTTCATTTAGTTGCCGAACTGCCTACTATTATAATATCTAGCTACCAACTTTATGACAGTGGAAATATAAACGAAAGTGGCCATAACCGGAAGTCTGTTTACTCGGTCATACTCAGTATTGAGACCATTCTTGTCCCGTCCCTAATGTTGTTTTGTCTTTGTCAGTTTATCTCTAGAAAGGCAAACTAGGAAATGGGATTTTGATTTTGTTCATATCATTATGCCCCATCCCTCTCATCCTCTACCAAAACAATGAACTCTACCCGGTACGCATGAAGAGCACTATAGCGTGGACCAATAGGCCAAATTGATCTTTTAAAGGTGTAAACACATAAACCTTGGACAGAGACATAAGTATAGTTTGATCAAAAGAATTTACTGAGTCATATTTCCGGTGCACTTATATACGAGGATCTCAAAACACCTGGATGTAACTGTACTCCTTTGACAAAGATTTCTTTCCATTTCTCGCATTAGTACAGTGCAAATATTTCTAATTATAGATTAAATCTAGTAATCTTCTCGTTTCAGGCAACTTTAATTAACACAGGATTTCATGTACGTGTCAGGTGAGTGTAAGTATGCAAATTATAACGGAAACTACCAGAGAAGATGGCTACCGGAAGTCAAGTGGGTGCAAATAATCAAACACTGTGCTTGTGTAAAGTAGAAAGTTATATTAAAGTCTTGATAATTTAAAACCCATTTGTTAGGGGAATGACCTTGTTAAATTGTGATCGTTGTACACCTCCGCAATTGTGCGCTTGATAATCAATAGTCTTGTCTCCATTGGTGTCACGTGACTTAAGCTTTATAGCGGTTTGGAACAGACGTAGGGCAAGGGAAGTAACTCTTATACATTTTCTAGCACAAAATATAATCGCGTGTTCACTGACATTGAACTATATGAGACGTTATCTAAAGTAAGAAAATCGATATCTCTCTGAAAGGTAATTAACCTCACGGACAGAAGGAGACTTGGATAACTGGACTACAGCATCGCAATTCCGTGATCAGTACCATTAGAAATAAATGAGATTTCAATTTAGTTTTAAACTATTTTTTAAAAAAAGCGTCAATGTACTGTTGTTCTTAACAAATGTTTCAAAAGATTTTTTTCTATTGATTTTTGGCATTTTTTACATTTATGTTTTTTCTATTGTGTCGTCAAGACAGTCCATGCATTTCTATTTGTTTGTTTGTTGGTTTGTTTATATATTAATATCTGACAACAAACCAGACAGAAAGTTCAATGCTTTGGTATACCTCGGAAAGAGTTATTTATTTATTTATTTATTTATTTATTTATTTATTTATTTATTTGTTTTATAGGACCATATCTATATTAATCTTGGTCTTAATGTTTCATGTATACTTATTTACACCTAATGCCTTAACACGCAGAATCCGCCAACATATGCGTATGATTGTCAGTGACTAATGAATGTTAGCCACATTTTATATTGTGACAAGAACACCCATTTCATTGACAAATTGAAAACGAAGGATTAACCATTAAGGAGTGTCCATGTCCGATTCAAAATAATCACACCAATAAGATTTTTAATGAGGTTGTGGAAAGATTATCAGAGACTGGGGGTCGTTATCAAATTTTCTAAAACAGAGGTAGATTTGTATACAATTACAGCTTGAAGACGATATCGTGGATTTATAGACACGTGTGTATATACAATTATACACTACATACCTTATTCCAAAGGTACTGGTCATGTTCCCCTCCCGAGAACTCACGCGCTGACCCCAACGTCGTTAACGTCTGCAACAAAATAAAACGGAAATCAACATTATTATTAATCAAGTCCATCGCGTTAAAAAAATATCGTATAGACAGTAAAATATACAACATGGCAACCAGTTTGTAGCCAAATCCCCCCTTAGTTTGTTATTTTATACCAAGCATTTGTTATATTCGTTACTGGCTTTAAAGCTTCAATTTTATAATAAATGTCTTGCCATTTTCCTGCAACACTTAGACATATACATGTAGATACACACGGATATACACTGGTATACAAATATATACAGTTAAATACGGGTATTTCTAGACAGACTTACAAGTGTATACACATAACATGAGATTTATATACAAGTACACTTATATACATACAGGTAAACACGTGTATATATTTGCGGTAATTGTAAAATGATCAAATCAAGAGATAGACAAATTTTCATGAAGTAATTTTAGTATCTTGTGAATTATCCAATGTCATATTTAGTTAAAATATCAAATTATTCGTAGTCTCGTCTCCCACACCTATAGTTAAGTGGGACACGATTTTACTTTACAACATACAGGGACGTCCTATGTCTCTACTACATCCTGCTATTCCAAGAGAAGCCAACACATCGGTTGATGTTGACAATTATATACATATGCAAATTAAGAAATACCTATCAACTGATATAAGCACGTAAAGTATTATTAAATAGTGTCATACATTCCTCATCGATAGGTCTAACGAACGTAATATATAGATTGTCTGATCAAACAAGTTTGCTTAAGTGCAGAGGAAACTATGTATTTTAATCTTCTTATCTTTATATTCATTGCCAATTTACAGCAATTTATTGGTAAAAAGAACAAAAATGTGTAATTCTCTATTTCTTAAAACGAAAAAAGAAACGAAAAAACAAAAAAAACAAAAAAAACAAAATGTATTCGGACACTGTATTCAGATTGCGGAAGTTCTGAGAGTTTATAAAATGCTAATTTTCCTAATCCTATCGGCATGCAAGCTTTTACGCATCAAAGAACATATGAAGTTATTATTTCCGGGTGAAACTCTTTCAAGTATCAAATTTTGTGTTGTTATATAATTGATATAAAGAAATTATTTAGTTGTTTTCAAGTTTGATATTAGAAATTAAATATTTCACCTGTAAGATCAAAGTCTCGATACAACAGGTGTAAAGCCTGTGATAAGAGCTCTTACTCGATTTACACCTGTCCCCGATACAGTGTCGAATTTCACCGTTTAACGCGACATAAATTTCACCCAATATGTGTACAACGGTCACTGATCGGGTACTGATTTATCAGTCAGGTGTGGAGTGGTCAGTTATTGGAAGATTGGTCAGATAAAATGACCAGTAGACTTCGGCATAATCTATTGTGTAACAAGTCTATAAATAAATTATTTAATCTAGAGATATGTTGGCTTTGTTTTAAAAAGGCGCGAAACAGGATAATGCAAAATATTGAAATGGCAGTATATTTAGAGATAACCAATTTATTACGTCATTTTTACGAATTGTCACAAATGTAGGATATTCCGTGTATAATTATATTTTTATCAGCAAGACGCGGTATTCGGTATAGTATATAATGCTATTGTATGACGCAATGTCCCGAAGAAATTAACATATAACACATATAACATATATCTATATTGCATACCTCAGAAAATTACTTCATATATCTGACTTTTCCACTCTCGTGACATTTTCAGAATGCTTCACTATGCCCTCCTTTTATGTATAAAGTAATCTATTCTTTAATTCATGTGTGTAATTCATTTCAACAACCATTTAAAGTAAAGAAAAATGAGTTCGCCTAGATTTTCAAGATGTGTTGTCTTTAATAATTTGGGTGAGACAGTTAAATCTATTTACATTAACTATTGGCATGAATATATACTATTGATAAATCTCCAACCCACGGGCTGTATAAATGTGTATCGACCAATTCCCATCCCACGGGCTGCATAAACGTGTATCGTTAAATCCCCACCCCACGGGCTGTATAAATGTATATCGACCAATTTTCCATCCCATGGGCCATATAAATGTGTGTCGACAAATCCCCACCCCACAGGCTGTGTGTATCGGATGATGGGGGACTGGATACTCGCCACACTATTGTAACATAACGCTATGCATAATAAAAACAATCCACGATACGAAAAAAAAAATTGTACAAATAAGAAAAGATACAAAATAATCACTTTGACGAATTTTTTATAAATATGGCGATGTAGTGTTCAGTTTTGAACGATTACATTAAAACACGTGTTTCCATTTTGATATGGTGTATAGATTTTTCTGTGTTAATATTTATTTTTTCAATGAATTTCATAGATACGACTTAATATATTTACATATCTAATTTTGATCCGTTTTGTCTAGTTTCTTTGTCAAACAGAATCTGCCTCTGTTCTTGTATCGCCGAAAGTCTGCAATAAAACATCGTTCTAAAACATCGTTTTTTCTGTACAGGACAAATAAACTTATTTCGTGATTGTCGAAGTAGTCAAGCTATCGTTTCATCAATGACAACTAAACACATTTCCGACAAAATTCCTTTTTTCTAAACGGAACGCAAAGGAGAACAATCTAAACTCCGGATCCGAACCCGGGAGCCGCTTACTACACGGAAACTGTCCGTGCTTGCTGATTTCCGCCTGTAAGCCATTTAAAATCTCAGGTCTTTAGATCTCCCTCGATCGGATTATTCCCGTCCATTAGATCTGAATTGGTCTCTAACGGGACGTCACAACACATGTTTATTTCCGTCTCGGCCCTTTGAAGGGGCTAGAGAGCGACACTGTCAATTGTTGCGGGTGCGCAAACAGGTGGTAGCTACAACGCTCAGTGAAAATTCACCTGTTCGCAAACTACCAGGGCGTTAACTTAATTAACGGTAAATTGCCAAATAAACTCCTCATACTTTATTAGTTTATAGTGTACCATACGGCGAATACATCCGAAAGACAATAACGAAAATTTAATTTTGAAACATTAAAGGTTTTAGAAAATATACACGATCAAAGATACGCATTATAATATTGTGTAATAGAAGAAATATACTGATATTCAACAACGGTACACATACGGTGGACACATAGCAGGAAGTAGTAAAAATAAACTTAAATTGTAAAGCATTTTATTTTAATGATAAAAAAGTTCGTCTCTAATTCTGAGAAGAGGTATATTTTTGCTTCCGTGATGAAAAATTAACGGTAAATTATCGAGAAGGCAAAAGAATACACGGAAACAAATATTTACATAAAAGTCAGAAATAAAACTATTTGAAAGACTTCGTGAAAAGACCAAACTAAATAAGTGATATTTGAAAAATTAATAGTTTTGAAAATCGTGAGAGCTTTAATCATTTGTTTTATCTTAACTGTCCATGATGCTTTCCCTTTATTTATTTTAAAATTAATTCTTCCAATTAATAACAAAAACAAAAATAACAAAAAAAGATTAATTATGTTACAAAATTTATACAAATAAATGTGTAAAAACTGGAAAGGTGTCCGAAAGTTAGGGAAAAAAGAGACAAATCTAAACAGCAAAGAGGACACGTGTGCCGGATAGTTAAATAACTGGTTCACGTGATAATTCAAGGTTTTATCGTCAAATAATTGAAGCAAACATCTGATAACATTATGACCCACAGCAGGTACGAACGTGAATTGAAAGGAATCTAACAATTTATAAGGAACACAAACGGATAAAGGAAATAACTCATTTCTGATGTTATTAATTAATGTTAGCATCACCTCTTATTTCATTGCTTTTTTTAAAAAAAATATAAAAATTTTGTAAAACATCTTTAAAATAGAGTTATTTTTTCAGTAGCTGTTGATATATGATTGACGTTGTGATTGAAAACATTGTCATAATAAAATAATCACGCCTTTTCGCTGAATTAAGGAACCCGCTGTTGTCTTTCTCCATAGTCATTCTTTTTTAATTAATTAAAGACTAAAACCCGTTTCTGAAATACAAACGCTTTATTGTTGATATCACCAAAGACTAAGTGGCATTTGTAATGAAAAATGTAATTTGCGACTGACATTGGTGTTTTTATAAATGCCAATAAAATCAACATTGATCAAATATTGGTCAACACTTTCAAACGTTACTCGACAAAAAAGTAATTAATTTATCCATAAATTCTCTCTTTCGCGCCACCTAACAGTGTTGCTTCCAATGAAACTATTGTTTCACAAAACAATAAATCCTGTTTTTAGGCATTAAATAGAAATTATATCATTTCCTCCTCCAAACATTCTTGTCAGAAAAAAGTCATCTTTGATCAAATGTAGCGGTATCTATCAAGGATTATTTACTCAAGGCGCTTTGGGACAATACGGATGAACAGACACTTCATTGAAATAATAATTTGCGGTTGTAATGGCAATTCTTCTGAGGAAAAAAGTAAACTTACTTAAATATTAGTATACAGGACTTGACAAATAGCGGTCTTTGACGAATGACATGTTGGGAAAATTTGAGGAAATTCCATTCCGTTAAGGCGGCCTATATTTCTAAATCGGAAGGGCGACACGTTGCAGAGACAGAAGAGTTGACGAGGAGCGGCAAACTTTTAACTTTTTTTTCAGGTTTACGTCAGAGTAAAGTACTAGAGGTAGTGAGGGTTGGTTTATTTGTTAAGGTAAGAGGGGAGGGAGGATTGCAGGGGGTAGAGTGCGTGTTTTACAGCTGCCGGTGCGTTTTGTTTAACACCTATGATAAAACAATATTAAGTTTCTTAAATTGTTGCAAATAAATTCCTTTCTTCAACAATAAATACTAATATCGTGTTTCAATGAACGTGTTTCATCGTATGCTTTTTGATGCATTCTCACAAAAGATTGTACTGAATGTCGAGAACAAAAATCACACACAACTGTCTATTAACTGTAATTATTCTTAAAATGACACCATCATGTAACGTAAAAAATCTGTCCAGCTGTATTGGGTTAAATATCAGAGGGTTAGTCAATTTTAACAAGTGCGCGCCACCTCTATTCAATTAAACGTAAAGCAGGCCTTGAGGTCCGCAATTTCATTTCAAATTAAAAATAAAAAGTGACTGAAAATTTGATATATATCCAATGATTTTCATTCTTCGTGTTGAAGTAACTAACAAATTGATGGCTTTTTCTATGACTGAGGAGGGGACTTGTTCTTCAGTGAATCTCTGTGATGAGATAATTGTACAAGGACGGTAATTGTTTTCAGTTGTGATACTGATCGTTACCTGTCGGACACGCAAAAAACTAGATAGCTACCATAAGATGAAAAAGAAAGCCTTTACAAGAAAGAGGATATTGTATTTGAAAGAAATATAAATACTGTTTATGATGTTTTTGCAGTCCATTACTGGTTCGCTTAATTATCGTGCATTTATGCGTAAATTTATCAATTTATTTATTCGTTTATTTATTTGCTAAATCGGTATGTAAAGGAAAGAAAAGAAAGAAAAGTTATCTTGTCATATTATTAAATCACAAGCTGACAGTACTTTTTTCTGTAATGTTGTGTGTACGGGTAGTGTTGTAACAACTTTAAATGAATCCTTTTTATTCTTTTTGACGAGACTCTCTGAGAATAAAACACGAAGGACATGTTACAGCCATGAAGATCCGTTTCGATACAATGAACATCTAATTAAGATGTTTTATCCGAATCAGACCGGAGTTTCAGAAAACAATTTACAGATGAATGGAAAAATAAACAGCCTGCATGTTCAGATTAAAATCAATAAGCTAACTGTTTTTATTGCTAACGAGTTTTGAATAAACGGTCCGTTTCTTTCAGCTGAATGCCGTAATGATATGATTTGACGGAAGAACTAATTTACGGAGAGGTAAGTTTAGGAATCTCCGGAATATAATTCTACACAGTAATGATAGAAAATAAATTTAAAAAATGACAATGAGAATAAATAACCTTAAAGATAAACATGTACTATTCAAACATAATTAACAGATAGTTATCATTTATATTTTTACCTTTATAGTCACTATGTGGTTCGGTTATAGCATTATATACATAGTAAGTAAAAATTTACCTGTAATTATGAAAAATAAATTTCCTCCAGGTGCACAGGTGTGTTTGCGTATCTACCCGGTATACTTGTCAGTGTGCAATGTCTAACATCAGGTAGTCCAGTCGATACTAATATATTAATAAAGAGCCGGAATAGAGAGTCCCTCATTAAGAAATATTTCATGAAGTGATAGATTAACATTTGATTGTAAAAGTATATCGGTAATGTCAATAAATAAACGCAGCCCGTCAACTCTCTGTCGGCGATATTTATAAAAGTTGCATGCAGGCATCGTTAATGACGAAGCATGTTGCTGTGGCACTACGCCAGTCGCCTCAGTGTTAACTTCATGTCGCTCGTTTAATATTTCAAAATCTCTTTCCGATGTATATGGTATCGGGCAGAAAGATACATTAATGATTAAAAGAAAACCGGAAGGTCTCCGGTAAGAAGACTTGGGTACCGTACCTGGTGGGGATGGTGATACAGTCCATAAGATGACATCTCAAACGCAGGTGTACAACTATCTCAACCTTTTGTAGCAGTTTTCTTCCTCCACAAAGTAGTTAGGTATATTTTTCTTTAAAACAGTCCCTCTGAACGAAAGCAAGGTAACCCTGGTAAATTCTGCTTCTTTTCTCGTAAATAATGAGTGAGATATCCTGTCCATGTTTTTAAAGGTGCATTAATATCATTATACCATGGTTAATCAATTGACTTTACCGAGTACCGATTGGTTGAGACACCGTCCTGTGACGTGAAAATGGGCGGAGCTTTTTCACCTGCGTTGATAAAGGCTTCAAAGAGATTGCCGCCGACTGGGTTGTGCCGGTATGGGCTCAGCGCACACCTTAAATCTAGACGGCCATATTAACCATATGTTGGCTACGAGAAATGAAAGCTTAGTTCTGAACATTGGGAAAATGAATCTTTGTCGAAGTGTGGCTAACAGTATTGTAGTTACAAAACACAACATGTAACTTTGTTAGTAAAACCGCAATTTCTAATCCCGATAACCAATCTTACACTGATTTTTCTTTTTCCAATCCACCGCGATCTTAAGCTTGGGAAACCTAATTAGCTTGGAGTGAATTTGGTGATAATTCGATGATTTTCATTTTCAGTTGTAGCTTTTTTGGAAACTATGGTAATTATCCAATTTTCTTGTGTGTTTTTTAATTGATTTGATTATTGAAATTCTACGTATGTTTCAGAGAAAAAAAAGTTTGTCCGGAACACAAAATACGGGTCCTTTTTTTATTGTCCTCCATTTAGATTTTCATGGTTATGCACCGCGAAAAAGGAGTGAATTTTAACCGTACTTATAACACTCGCAAATGAATTATTATAATAGTGATCGCCTGAAGTTACAAAAATGAAGTAAGATCCAGCTTATTCAACTTCACAAAAAACAGTCCTCCGTTTGTTGGTAAAGTTTGTGAATACATCACACTGTTTCAGTATCTAGACGATAAATAATCTTCTATATACACAACGATACATATATATCAGAAAAAAACCAACAACCATATCCACCAATCTTGTCCGAATTGAAATTTGTATCTGTTTTTCTGCCTTATATTAAACCCGATCTTTTAAATAAATTATGGCGCCAAGTTCTACAACATAAATGATACATTGAAAACTGTATACCACAATGACCACCTGCTAGACTAGGACCATCAACCATGACCTAAATTATACGTAAGTTTAATTTTACTCGTTTCATTTCAACGCTTATGAAAATCTTAGCAAATTGTTTATTACTTTAGAAAACTGATTTCAAACTCTGTCAAAACGGCATTTTACACGGAGTTGTTTTTAATAAGCTTTCTTCAAAAGTTGTGGGAAATGTACCTTCTTTTCAAAGGATTTATAGCACTTAAGTGTTAAGCAATTTCAGTATGTAAAATTCGAACAGATTTGTGAAAATAAGACTTTCAAACCTTTTCACGACCTTGTAAGAAAATATCGATGTATTGTCTAAATAGGAGCGAGTTGGTTGTACTTGGTAGGATCTGATATTTTGATCAATCTGTTTATCAAAACCTTAATATTTCGAGTATTACTTGTATTCAGAAGACGTTTTTTTATTTTGAATCAGAGAAGTACAATTTTATCTAGATTCAAGAATCTTGAGGTTGTTGTTAAAAATCAATGTAAACAAAAAAACCTGTCAATATGTGTGGAGGTACTCGAGATGAGACACCAGATACAGAGGGAGACTGAGTTAGAAATAATGGGGGACGATATAAGAGGTTAAAGATAACAGGTGTTAACTGTCGGTATTTCAAACTACAATGTAAATCCATTTGAAATCTGTCATATGAATCTGTCATTTATTTTCTTCTTTATTTAGCACGAATATAACCAACTACAGTCTGTTATTCTGTGTAAACGCCCCAATCGGTTGAAAACTTTACCCATAACACTACTTCAGAATACTCATTTTAAATCACTTCCGCACATGATTAAATCCTTCATTTCACCCAGAGACTAAATTGTGGATGTCTAATTTTCAATTTTAGCATAGTTATAAGATCAGTCCCGGCAGTGTCTAGATATGTCCGTTTCTCTTTATATAGACCAACCAGTTGAGCATGTTATGTATGTTACAAAAAAGAAGAGGAACAGAAATCCTTCTTTTAAGGCTCAAGTTAACATCACAATTAGCAAAATTATTTAATGTTATAAACGATAAAGTGTGTATGGCTGTGACGTCATAAAATGAACTGTGTGGATTCACTGATGCAGAAAAAATTATACATCTATTGACCTAGATAAAACACTTGATACTCCGGGACATACGTATTTACACATCAACGATGTACGATTTCATAGGGCTGGAATCGGATACTTTGTTTTTAAAACAGATATTGTTGCCTGTTAGTTTTTAAAAAAAATTGACAAAAACAGTAATATACACGCTTAGAAACTCATTTCATTATTTGAAAAGATAATGGTCTGTTTAATACACAACACGTATCGATTATAGGGTCGATTTCTAGAATAACGCAATGAAACAGATTATAAATGTGTCACTTTCACGTGAAATTGAAATGTCTAGACCCGAGAACTTCGTTTGTTTAGAGTTTCCAAGCTATAATAAAAATTTAAAAGAATTGAAATTTTTGTTTTGTGTAATTAAAATGCTAGAACGTTTCTGTTCAACAAGAGTTTAACAAATCTCTGCAGAATATAATGTGCTAGGATGACGTGTCACGATATTTAGGCATGGGTGACTTTCTAGGTATAAAAGACATTATAATTACCGAAGCGTGTTACAATCAACCAAACGAATATTAATAAAGCTGAAATCATTGAAGCGAAACTGAAAAAAAGTTATACGTATTGAAAAAAGATAAAAAATTCTACTGCAAGTCATTCCAGACGCGATGAGACTGGTTTGTTCACCATGAACAACAATGCTATTCGATTCTAAGGATTCCCTAACGACACAATATGACAAGAGACTCAAAACATTTTGTAAAAACGAATTGAGTTTAGTTTTAAAATGCTTCATTTGACTAAAACGTGATTTTACCAGAAAATTTCGAAACATATTTTATGCAATGAAAGAGAAGTTGTGTTATTGACTAGACATATAGTTATGGTTTCTATAGATCGTGGTTGGTTTGAGTTTACCTGAGTTGTGTGATGTTGGAGGACTGAGAATGGTTCGTGTATAATTAATGACGGTACATCACGTCACGAACTCTTCGTGTGGAGTGGCTACCACCGGAATCACAATGCCGACAGTTGAAATCACTCTCTTTCTTATTTGTCTGTTGGTTCGTTAATTTTTTTTTTACCATAAATGGATTTTTTTCTAATGTCAATTAAAAACGTTGAATAACTTAAAACGTGTTCTTTGAATTGCATTTCTTTGTTTTTCGTACACAGTTTTTTCTTAGCTACACATGGCAAAACTAAAACAAAATTACAGAAAACATTTGTCTATTAAAACATTTGCCGATATTCCACGTATTTGCTCTGCTTCAAACATATGGTAAATGTTAAATTTGTAAATGTTGTATAAATCTATATTAGATTGTTGTTGATATTTGAGAATAGGCAAACTTCGTCTGTCGTTACTATTTCCTATAGATCGACTGGATAAATAAAAACAATTTGCAAAAAATCAAGTTTGTAAATTTGTAGTTGATAGATGTGCTATAAATAACTACCATGCTATAGATAATAGGAGATATCTGGAAATGTTCATCACAATATTGGTATTTACTAAGAATCAATACTTTGCATATTATTCATATTTGTAAATATGCGGAAAGTAAACAATGAACATATTTTAAAAATGTAAAACACGATCATTGATGATTGCAGAAAACAGGTACGTTTAAAACAAACAATAATGTATAAATGTATCGGAATCGACAGCCCTACTATCAGTAAAGTACACACACCTGTTTCTGATATCTAACAGTAAACTGCACAGAAATAACGCCTGTTTTATTAAAAAAAAAAAAAAGAATCCCACCGCATGAACCAAAGTTGAAGAAAGAGATTAGACCTTTCCTATTGACAATCTGTGTGAAGGACATTGCTGACATCGAAGATGTTCAGTTATCACAATGAGATTGTCGTCCATTTTTTCCTTCTTTCTTTGCTGTATATTTTCTGCACGTTTTGTTTCTCTAAAGATCTATCACATATTTGTAATTTTGCAGAGCTTTGAGTTATTATTAGAAATCGCATCTGAGAGCACCAGTCAGAGAGAATGGCATACCAGTGGTAGATTATAATCGGTAACTAAAAGATTAAACTTTCCAACAAAATAATAGGATATCTGATATACACATGAATTTTGAGACAAATGTGTTATGCTACATCACCAATATGTTTCAGTTTCCTGACCCAGTATCTATTAACTGCCTATTAAATTTCCATAACGTTCAAGTACGGTTTATCAATTAACTACGTATCTACTTGCCACAAGGAATTTCTGAGATATCAGCCGATAAAATCATAGACAATTTAATTGTCCTGCCAATAATCAACGACGTCACTTTTCGGCCAGTGTGCCATTACACCAACAAATCAATACATCGATCATATGTCAGTATGTTCAGAATCGACATTTGATAACTCGTCATTCATTCATTCATTCATTCATTTATTCATTCATTCATTTATTCATTCATTCATTTATTCATTCATTCTCATGGTGCACCGTGATGTAGCCTAGGAGGTGTCCGGACCGAGGCTAGTTAAAATGTACGAAATTACACAACATGGATATCATGTTTATTCGAAACGAAATGGCGGTTACTGCTAGTTCACTATATTTTACTCGTAAATATATGACAATTTAGAGTAATATAGAAGTACAAGGGAAATAAGACCATGTGTTACGGAAGAGAAAGCGTCTTCTGCTTCATCGATGACATCAGCCATACAAATCTGATTTGATTTAAATGAGTAATGTCAGGTTCCCAAATGAGAACGAGGTATACAACAACAGAACCAACGGGCTAACTAACGAG